AAAAAAAAAAAAATTTTTTTGAAAAAAATGGGTCGGCGGGTTATGCAAAACGAAAAATTAACTTTGCATGGCCTAAACAATGTAACGCATAATTATTCAATAAAGACCAAGGCCAGGCCTCACTCTTAAAAATATATATAAATATATATATATGTATATATATAATTTACAAAATTTGAAAATAAGTTAATTTGTAAGTTGGAAAGGATCTTGACTTTAAAGTTTATAGTAAATTTATATGTTTTTATTATAACTCTTATTATATATTAACACTCACATATCAACAGGTGAGACATCTCCCCTGACTGATATAATTTATGTGATTTCTTTCCCATTCGTATTTATTTTTTTTTTTATTATTCATATTTTTTATTTAAAAAAAAATAAGGTTAAATCTTTTTATGTAAATTAACACAATCAAAATATTGAATAGAACCAATATTTTAAAAACCCACATCAAATAATTGTTTATGTAGATTGATTCTTCGCTTCATGTATTGCATTTTTTTCTTAAGGTCAATATTTTTCAAGTAACGACCGATTTTTGTTACGTACACTTTTACAACTTTTACATTTCAGCTAATCGATGTCAAATAATAATATTGACACCCGTTTTATATATATAGTTGAAAACGTTAAAGTTAATATCAATTTAAATAAAGATTTCATTTAGGGTCTTAGGGTGCCTTTTTACTAATCCTGTTGCGCAAAAGTTTAGTACATGATTAATTAATGTTGGCTATTGTTTTATTTTTTTAGCTTTACAAGTTTTTTCAATTACTTGCATTTGAAAACATATCTGGTATCAATTCAAAATTAACTTAATTCATGTTATACGATTAGTGTGAATAAGTTGTTACTGTGATTCGGCAATTAAGATTGTCTTATTTATCTTGGGTAAATAATTTTCTTTTTTTTTAGTTGTAAAAAATAAATAAATAAATAAATAAATTCAAAGGGAATATCATGTGAATGCAAATATAAAGAAATATAAATAAAATACGCTGATAGCAATTGACAATCAATACTTGCATTATGACTAGATGCAAGTTTTAATTGGTCAATTGAAAATACAGTTAGATCAGGTGTAACGTAAGAAATTTTTACGTTAATTAAAAAACCACATTTTATTACTTTAATTATAAGTGTTCTTTACGAATTATGCGAGCGCTCGTCATCACTCATACGTATAACGACCGCATAGCTGGAATTGCATACATTTCTCAATTACACAAGACAATCAAGTGTAACATTATCGCATAATTATATGCATTTGTCATATATAATGGATTCCTTTTAGAATTCACTCTATTATGTATAATATATAAATTAAACCATGAATATTGAAAGTGGCTTGGAAAACTTAAATTTACCTTATTTTGAAATCAATCAACTTAAAAGTTATTAAGAGAATTGGAAGTGGAGCGTTTGCAGATGTGTACCAAGCAGATTTAACAAACTCAAATTTAAAAAATTTAAAGTGTGTTGCATTGAAGGTCTTCAGGCAATTTGAAGAATCCGAGGCTCTTCGAAAAGCTATACTGAAAGAGGTGAAAATGGTCAAATTTAAATATATTATGTTAAGGCAAATTAGATGTAATTTTAAGATATAATTTAATATTTAATAAACTCATCTAGATTACAGCGCATAGAAAAATGGGTGCAGATGATAAGGTTATGCAAATCTATGGATTCACTAAAATGAAAGATTATATTACCATTAATTTATTTCTGGATTAAGTATTCATTAATTCCAAACACTAATGTTTTTAATTATAAATCATCAACTAGTTAGTGTATATGATTCTGAATTGAGTTATGCGTTAGTATTAGAATTTGCAGATAACGGTACACTAAGGAATTATTTACGGCAAAATTCTGACCTCAGTTGGTCCAATAAATTTCGCCTCGCTCTACAGCTTGCTAAAGCCATTATGCATATGCACTCTAAAAATATTGTCCATAGGGATCTTGTAATTAAAATTTTATGTTAAGTTTGCAATTTAATATAGTTTAATTGCTTTGCTATAACTAATACTTATTGTAATACATACAGCACTCGAATAACATATTAGTTCACAAACATAATATTAAGGTCGCTGACTTTGGGTTGTCTAGATGTTTATCTGATGCGTCAAAAACTATTACAGGACTTGCTGGTTATATACCATACATGGATCCTTATGTCCTTAAAAATTCTGAGCAGAAATTACAGATAATAAGTAAGGAGTGTGACGTATACAGCTTAGGTGTACTCTTATGGGAAATATCAAGTTTACATCCTCCATTTGAGGAAGAAGACAGAAGAGCTCTGTATATTAAGATATTAAATGGTTATAGAGAGATACCTATTTTGGGAACCCCGCCACAGTTTTTTGCTTTATATACTGGTTGGTTACATATATTTTTGCGGGTTTGATTGTTATTACCTTTCAAGCATTAAATCATTTATCATCTTCGAATTATCTATTAAAGAATGTTGGCAGGATGATCCGAAAAAACGTCCTACCATTGATAAAGTTGTATATGAACTCAGGTAAATAGTCTTAGAAATTACAGTAAAAAAATTTTAGTCGATCGGACAATATTTCTAATCGTATTTATATCAAACTAGCGGAATGCAAATAACAAGGTATTCGTTGCTAACATCTTTAATGTCTGTGTTATGCTAAATGACATTTTTATAATCAACTTTAGGGAACCGACACTTATTACGTAAATATAACCCTCTCAAAGTCAGTTATTTGACACAATTACAAGTTCGAAAATAATCAATTGTTTGACAATTGCAGCTTTAAAATAACTAATCATATAAAGTTTATATTATGATTGCTTTAGAACTAGTAATTGTCAAATGACTGACTCTGGAGGGAGCTGTATTACGTATGAAGTGCCAGTTCCCTTATAGTAGTATTATTTATGTCATTTAGAGTTTGTAAGTAAAGTGTTTAACAAACCATTGTTTCATTGTAATTCATAAAATGTAGGCAGTGAGTAATTTTACGACAGTATAATATTCGTCAAGAATTCAAATAGTACTTATTAATCGCTTACTGAAATATAAATCTCAACGTTATATCAGTGATGACAAAAGTGATGGTATTAATGAGACAATTAATTCATTGAATGAAGAAGCGTCGTCCTTCGTACCAATGGAATATGAAGTAACAAGGATTGAAGAAAATCAATTTCGTAGTGCCTTAGGAGCATCATCAAACTTTGAACCTTTCGCACCATTAATAGATATATTTATAAGATTAGGGGAAGATATTGTAATGT